ACACACACACACACACACACAACACACACACACACACACACACACACAGATGTACCTTCTTGTTGTGCTTGAGCCAGGTGATGTATCCTTTACTGTCCTGGTACTGCAGCCCGAAGAACCACATCTCCCTCAGCCCCACCGTCCTCACCACCTACACAACAACACAACAACACAACAACACAACAACACAACAACACAACACAACACAACACGACACACACTGTTACAAGTGTGTAACTCCAGGACGCGTTTGTGCCGAAGCCAAAGGTGAAACGAACAAACAAACCTAAAACATCTCATTGTGATTTTCTGACAAGAATCGTGACTGAATCTGAACTGACAAATAAAACAAGAATCACATTTCAGAACATGTTTGTACAGATCTAAACTACAGGGTTAGACATTTTTATGCAGAATAAGACCAGTCCTGGTGTAGTCCTGGTCTAGTTCTGCTGTAGTCCTGGTGTAGTCCTGGTTTAGTCCTAGTGTAGTCCTGGTGTAGTCCTAGTGTAGTCTTGTTGTAGTCCTGGTGTAGTCCTGGTGTAGTCTTGTTGTAGTCCTGGTCTAGTCCTGGTGTAGTCTTGTTGTAGTCCTGGTGTAGTCCTGGTGTAGTCTTGTTGTAGTCCTGGTCTAGTTCTGTTGTAGTCTTGTTGTAGTCCTGGTCTAATTCTGTTGTAGTCTTGTTGTAGTCCTGGTGTAGTCTTGTTGTAGTCCTGGTCTAGTCCTGGTGTAGTCTTGTTGTAGTCCTGGTGTAGTCTTGTTGTAGTCCTGGTGTAGTCCTGGTGTAGTCTTGTTGTAGTCCTGGTGTAGTCTTGTTGTAGTCCTGGTGTAGTCTTGTTGTAGTCCTGGTCTAGTTCTGTTGTAGTCTTGTTGTAGTCCTGGTGTAATTCTGGTGTAGTCCTGGTGTAGTCCTGGTGTTGTCCTAGTGTAGTCCTGGTGTAGTCCTGGTGTAGTCTTAGTGTAGTCCTGGTGTAGTCCTGGTGTAGTCCTAGTGTAGTCCTGGTGTAGTCCTGGTCTAGTTCTGCTGTAGTCTTAGTGTAATCCTGGTGTAGTCCTGGTTTAGTCCTGGTTGTAGTCCTAGTGTAGTCCTGGTGTAGTCCTGGTGTAGTCCTGGTGTAGTCCTGGTGTAGTCCTGGTGTAGTCCTGGTGTAGTCCTGGTATAGTCCTGGTGTAGTCCTGGTGTAGTCCTAGTGTAGTCCTAGTGTAGTCCTGGTGTAGTCCTAGTGTAGTCCTGGTGTAGTCCTGGTGTAGTCCTAGTGTAGTCCTGGTGTAGTCCTGGTGTAGTCCTGTAGTTGTAGTCCTGTGTAGTCCTGGTGTAGTGGTGTAGTCCTGGTGTAGTCCTGGTGTAGTCCTTGTGTAGTCCTGGTGTAGTCTGTGTTGTAGTCCTGGTGTAGTGGTGTAGTCCTAGTGTAGTCCTGGTGTAGTCCTGGTGTAGTCCTGTGTAGTCCTGGTGTAGTCCTTGTGTAGTCCTGGTGTAGTCTGGTTGTAGTCCTGTGTGTAGTCCTGTAGTCCTGTAGTCCTAGTGTAGTCCTGGTGTAGTCCTAGTGTAGTCCTGGTGTAGTCCTGGTGTAGTCCTAGTGTAGTCCTGGTGTAGTCCTGGTGTAGTCCTGGTGTAGTCCTAGTGTAGTCCTGGTGTAGTCCTGGTGTAGTCTTGTTGTAGTCCGTGTAGTCCTGGTGTAGTCCTGGTGTAGTCCTAGTGTAGTCCTGGTGTAGTCCTGGTGTAGTCCTGGTGTAGTCCTGGTGTAGTCCTGGTGTAGTCCTGGTGTAGTCCTGGTGTAGTCCTAGTGTAGTCCTGGTGTAGTCCTGGTATAGTTCTGGTTTGGTCCTGGTTTGGTCCTGGTTTAGTCCTGGTTTAGTCCTGGTTAACGAGTCCAGGCAGGTGTGGATTTAACTTGGACATAATCCCAGGTTAACGGGCGGGTGTGGTCCTGTACTGCACAGGTGCAGGACTCTGCTTTGGACCGACCCAAGCCTCTTATTATATGAGGGAGTGTAAAGTACATTACATCATATTAATATTATTCATGTGGGAAGGAGGGATGGTTCTACTATGAAACGTGGGACACTTGTATAATAAATGTTTATGTTGCTGCTCTGACAGTTAGACGTGATTGTGTTGTTATTTTAGAATGAGTTGTTTATCAGCACAGATCAGTTCACCTGTTGAAGTTCCCACTGAACCATCTCTTTCTGGTCACATTACGGCTGCGTTCAGACTGCACCTGAAGTGACCCAAATCCGATCTTTTAATGACAGTCTGAACCACACAGATCTGATTTTTTCAAATGTGACCCAGGCCACTTGGATATGTGCTCCTGAAACTTTTTGAATTTATTTGTTTGGAGGATAAGCCCCTTGAGATGTGTCACCATCTCGTTTTCAAGGGGGTCCTCATAAATACAACAGCAAAAGACAGATACAGTTGGGCAGACAGCAGGAGACATAAGTTCAAATAAGCATCAAAACAACTAAATCAACACAACCACAAACACACACACACACACACACTCACTCACGCTTGACTGTTTCACACATAATAAAACAAATTTGAAAGAAAAACAGAGTTTTTTAAACAGAGTTCAAAGATAATCACAGGATACAACAAGATAAACAACAAAATTCAACAAAATAATAAAAATAATCAAAAACAATGACATGGTTTATGTAAATGTTGAACCAGAGCATTTTTAAATAAAGGGACAGAAGTTAAAGCACGAATTGATGAGGAAAGATTGTTCCAATCAGAAGCAGCTTTATATTTAAATGAGTATTTTCCAATTTGTTTTTTGACTCTTGGGACGACAAAAAATATCTGATCTGCAAGACGTAAACTATAAGAGGATCTGAATGGAATTAAATACTGTTTAAGATCTTCAGGATAACTGAGATTAATACATTTAAAAATAAATAATAAGCAGTGAAGTTGACGTCGGGAGGACAGAGTGAGGAGGACAGTTGGTGGAACATTCGTACAGTGGTGAGTTCTGAAGGGACAGCGGAGAATGAATCTGCACAGACTGTTCTAGAAAACGTTGAGTGGTTGGAGAATAGAAGTTGTAGTATTTTGATAAATGATATCGCAGTCATCTAAAATGGGAAGAATTAGTTGTGAAATAATCTTTTTCCTAACAGAAAAACTAAAACAACTGATGGACTGATAAAGTAATTTTAAGCGAAATGGAGTTTTGTTTGTAATAGTTTGTATGTGGGCGCTGAATGAGAGCGACGGGTCAAGCCATAAACCAAGATATTTTAATTTATTAACTGCTATAATTGGTGATGAATCGGTAAATGTCAAATTTATATCATTAACAGAAAAAGGACGGATTCATTTCTGGAACAACATGAAATATGATTTAGATTTATTAAGTAGAAGTTTGTTATGCTGTAGCCATAATTGAACAGTATTAAAATCATGTTGAATTGAGGATTGAATATCAGTAATATTAGATTTAGATGAATTAAATAACTGTATCATCAGCGTAGAGTTGAATATCACAGGCTGTGCACACAAGGGGAAGGTTGTTAATAAAAATAGAAAATAAAAAGGGACCCAGTGAGGAACCTTGAGGGACGCCTCTCTCTATTATGGAGACATTTGAAAAGCCTTTAAAGAAAACACATTGTTGGCGGTGATGAAGATATGAATTGAACCAAGGGAGAGCAGATCTGTCAAGGCCTGTAGAATGAAGCTTGTCCAGTAAAAGATAATGGTCGACCATATCAAAAGCTTTCGTGAGGTCAATAAATAAGGCACCAGTGAGCATATTATTGTCAAAACCTGAAAAAATATCACTGGTAAATTTTAGTAAAGCAGAAGTTGTTGAAAAATACTTTCTAAAACCAGACTGAAATGGAGATAGAAGATTATTTTTCGATAAGTATTCAGACAGTTGATTAAAAAATTATTTCTCATAGACTTTAGCAATGCTATTGATAATTGAGATTGGTCTATAATTATTAAGTTTGCTGGGGTCACTCCCTTTATGGAGCAGTATAACCTTTACACATTTCCACGCAGATGGAACCTCACAGGATATAAAAGACAGGTTGAACAGATCAGCCAAAGGGTAACAAAGAACATGGGACGCAAATTTAATAAACTTGGCTTCAATGCCGTCTGGACCAGCGCGACCATGCAAAGAGAGCCCATTTATGGCTTGGTGCACAAACCGATACATATCTGATCTTTTGACATGCGACTTCAGTCTGAACGGCCAAAGTGCATTCATCCACCTACACGTTATCAACAAGCCACAAACGTCACTATTCTGCGCTGAAGCAGGCGGAAACCGGAACTGTAAAATCTCCAGGTGCTCGATGCTGCGTCCATGTTTGGACAACTTCCATAAACACAGAGACGCTCGCTGCGGTTGACGTCGTCGTGTCTCCAGTGTCACATGTGGGACACTTTCGGGCCATTTACCGTTCACACTGGAGTCACATACAAGTCGCATTTAATTGGAAATGTGAACGACCTCGCAAAAACATCGGATTTCACAAAAAAATCAGAATTGAGCATTAAGCCCTGCAGTCTGAACGTAGACTATGTTCAAATAAAGCTCTGTGTCTGAATGGATCTCGGGACTGAAGGAGTCAGAGTCGTGTCAGGCTCCGCTCTCTCTGCACACAGACGGGCTTTGTTCTGTCAACCCTCTGCTCCATCCCTCCATCCCTCCATCCCATTCCTCCTCTTCCTCCTCCTCCACCATCTCACCATCTCCACGCTCCTCCTCCTCTTCTCTCTCTCTTTCTCTCTCACCTGGTCGAAGAGCTGCTTCCCTGTGGTGCTGGGCTGGATGGCGAACTCCAGCTCTGCGTCCATGGTGGTGACGCGCACGTTCAACTGTAACACAACGTCACACAACGTCACACAACGTCACACAACGTCACACAACGTCACACAACGTCACACAACGTCACACAACATCTGAAAACTCTGTATAGTTCAGCCAGGAAACTGAGCCCAAAGATAAAACATGTTCAGTTTGTGTAGAGTAAAATAATAGAAGAAAAATAGACCATTTTCACAACGGCCGGAAGTGCCACGATGTAGGTAAATGTCACTCCCAGTTAATGTTTTTCTACGGCAAAATATCTGTGGAAATCTCTTGTGTATTTTCCCCAGCTTCATAAATCTGCCCCATCACCAAATTTTCTTCTTCTGTTTTCTTCATGATCAGAACATGAGTTGAGTTTGTTGTGTGACTAATGTGTCTCGTTGTTTCCTTTAAGTTTTGTTCTTTCTTCTCTTGATCGTTGTGGATAAATTGCTCATGAAGAATGTTTATCCTTTGTGGAGTTTGTTGGTTGAAGATTTGGTGATGGGGCAGATTTATGAAACTGCTGGAGAAAACGACAAACGTTTACACGGATATTTTGACACAGAAAACCATTAAACGGGAGTTACTTTTACTCAATATCACAGCACTTCCGGCTGTTGCGAAAAAGGTCTCTCCTAAAACCTGGAGGTGAGTCTCGGTCGGTGCACTGTTGCCATAGCGACGTTCAGAGGAAAGTCACATGGGGCACTTTAAATTTTACCTGGAGCAGAGTCTAGAGAACTGAAGCCCTGATGGATCAGACCAAACACCAGGTCAGAGTCGGTCCTCCTCACTCCATAAAGTGTCTGAGGGTTTGAATAGGGCCCGGGAGAGATCACTAGATTACCCAAACATGCACGGAGGACCCTAAAGCCACTTCAGGCAGGTTTGAGAACAATGTCATATCATGAGAAAGCTCCAAAAAAACAACAATTTAGCATAAGAATAAAAAAGTTATGATGACTTTTTAAAGGTTGTATAGATTTTCCAAGGAAAGAGAAATGCAGCGACTGTTGGTCCTTTTTTAAATGTTGAGCTTCGCACCTTTTCCCCTTCTCTTCTTCTTTCAGCAACGTCAAAAACTGACTTTCTTTTGCAGCGAACCGGTCGTGAATTCTTCTCTGCCATTAAAACTAAATTTGTGCAAACTGAGAGCTACAGTTCAAAAAAGACACCAAGAACATAAACCACACAATCCCAGCGCGTCGGCAAGTCAGCGACGCTAGAAATGTAGGGAATTTGATTGACAACCTAACAGCCAATAGATAAAGAGGTAGCCTTGTTATCTATTGGCTGATGTTTATCTGCCCTCACTACGTCCACAGTTGATTTTTTGGATTTTCTTTATAATTCTAACTTTTTGACAATTTTTTTTTTTCCATACAACCTTTAAGCGGCGTGGAACATTCAGAGTAAAGCAGTAACATCTCCATGGTAACAAGCACCAGAAATGTTCCGCAGTGTCCCATAAAACTGAACTTCACACCCTCTAACGACCCGCGCTCACACGACCCGCGCTCACACGACCCGCGCTCACACACCAGCATTTTCATTACACAAATGAAAAGTTGCTGCTGAAATATTAATGGGTCGTGTGCAGCAGCGCCCCCCCCCCCCCCCCCACCATGACCCGGCCCCCACCTCACGAACTGGGCCCCTCCCCCCCCCACCACGGCCCGGGCCCCTGGGGGACTTCCTCTTTGGACAGAGACATGTGCAAAACGCCACAAGCTTCAATAATTCAGGAGAACTCTGCTCACAAACACACAGATACACACACATTATACACACACATACACACATTATATACACACACACACAATACACACACACACAAACACAGCATACACACACACACACACACACACACACACACACACACATACACACACACAATATACACACACACACACACAATATACACACAACACAACATACACACACACACACACACACATACACACACATACACACACACACATACACACATTATATACACACACACACAAATACAGCATACACAAACACACACACAAACACACACACACACACACACACACACACACACAATATACACACACACAAACACACATATACACACACAAGATATACACACACACAAACACACATGATATACACAAACACACACATACACACACACACATACACATGCACACACACACACAAAGTAGGGACACAGACACACACACATATACGATATACACACACACAAAGTAGGGACACAAACACACACATGATGTGCACACACACACACACACACACAATATACACACACACATCATATACATACACACACGATACACACAATACACACACAAAGTAGGGACACACACACACACATATCATACACACATATCATATATACACACACAAAGCAGAGACATACACACACACACACCTATACCTACACACACTATACACACACACACACACACTATACACACATCATACACACACACCTATACCTACACACACTATACACACACACTATACACAAATAATACACACACATAACTATATACACACACACACTATACACACACACTACACACTCACACACACACATCATACACACATATCATACACACACACACACACCTACATCTATACCTACACACACTATATACACACACAGCACACACACCTATACCTACACAGATACACACACACAGGGCAGAGACTCACACACACACACATCATACACACATATCACACACACAAACACACATACATCACACACACCAAACACACAAAGCAGGGACACACACACACCTATGCCTACACAGACACACACACAGAGCAGACACATACACATCATACACACATCATACACACACACACACTCACGCACACGTACACACACATACACACACCTATGCCTACAAAGACACACACAGAGAGAAGAGACACACACCCACACAATCCAATCTTCACCCAGAACAACAAAAACAATAAAGTTTAATGAGTCCTCCCTCGCATTGCTCCCCGTGCTAAGTCACTCCCCCTGCAGAGCGCTAACACAACACTCAGCGTGCGTCCTGCTGATGAAACTCCTGCACATACATCAGGTTTGTGAAGTCGTAGTGTGCAGTTTTGTGTCATGTTTTTGTATATTTATGTACAATTGTCGTGTGGGAACCTGGGGGCGGAGAATAGGGCCCAGAAGAGATCACTAGATTACTCAAACATGCGTGGATGAAAAATGATTTTGCATAAAAGACCCTTTTTAAACTGTTCAATATGGCCGAGGATTCAATGTGTAAAATAAAAGATTTCACTTTTCAGGACACATCACTTGCTTGTTGCCATGGAGATGGCATCGTTTTGCTTCTTGGAATGTTCCACAGTATGGCATTAAACGTTCAGAATGCGGGTTAGACAAAAAAAAAATAAAAAATCCTTACATTTTTCATTCTCAGTGTTTATTTTGTACGATCATAAACGATAAACTTTGTGCCTCCTTTGTCATTATTATGAGTTTGTACGACCATAAATAAAAAACAAAATCCTCACTTTTTTCATTCATTATTTCTGTTTACTTTGTACGTTCAATGTTCAACCACACGATTATGTAAAAGAGTTGGGGTCGGACATTATAAGTTAAATTAAATTCAACTTCATCCTCCTCCTTTTGAGCACCACGTCCCAAATCTGCACATGCACACGTCCTTGTTCTTTGACGCTGTTGTTGTTGTTGTTGTTCTTGTTCTTTGCTCAAACAAATAAAACGAAATGAATGAGGCGGAGGTTCTCTCACCGTTTTGGGCATGTTTCCTGTCCTGTGGCGCCGCCCCTCACTGGACACTCAGCTCCACCTCCACCTGAGGAACACACACGGGTCAAAACAAGAACAACACTTTATATAAATCCTCTCAAACGACCTGCTCCACACAGATGAGTTACAGTTCAGGCTCTAAAGACTCACGAGAATCGAAAATCAGACACTAAAACTCAATGCTCTTTTTTTCACAGGTACTAAAAAAAAAAAAAAAAAACACTGACAGGACGGAGCAGAAGTAAAATTTTTCCTGAATGTGTTTAGAACGAACTGGACCTGGATCAGAGAGACAAGTACACACACATGGACCTGGTTTAGACCTGGTTTAGACCTGGACCACTGAGGGATTACACAGATAAAAGGACACATGGGACCAGGGACTAAACCAGGACTAAACCAGGTCTAAACGAAGTCTAAACCAGGACTAAAGCAGGGCTAAACCAGGATTCAACCAAGACTAAACCAGGTCTAAACCAGGACTGAACCAGGTCTAAATCAGGTCTAAACCAGGTGTAAACCTGGTCTAAACCAGGACTAAACCAGGACTAAATCATGTCTGAACAAGGACTAAACCAGGTCTAAACCAGGACTAAATCATGTCTAAACCAGGTCTAAACCAGGACTAACAGGACTAAACCAGGACTAAACCAGACTAAAAACTAAACAGGGTCTAAACCAATAAACACTAAACCAGGTCTAAACCTAAACCAGGTCCAGGTCTAAACCAGGACTAAACCAGGTCTAAACCAAGGTCTAAACCACTAAACAGGACTAAAGGTCTAAACCAGGACTAAACCAGGTCTAAACCATCACTAAATCATGTCTGAACCAAGACTAAACCAGGACTAAACCAGGTCTAAACCAAGTCTAAACCAGGACTAAATCATGTCTAAACCAGGTTAAACCAGGACTAAACCAGGACTAAACCAGGGATTACACAGCTCTATGGAAACATGGTAAATAGAAATTAAAGTATTACCACTTAACGTGGAAAATCACAAAGTACTGTGTAAAAAAAGAGGGTTTTTATTCTCATTGTGGGATCAGAATCGGTATCGAGTATCGGAACGTCATTAATTAGAGGCGTTTTTTAGATGCCCAAACACTGATCAATACTCAAACTAAAGTATCAATAAAGAGAAAGACTGGGCGGCAGGAGTAGAAGCTGGGAAAGTGTTATGAAGCACTTTTAAATCTTAATTATTTGGATTATGACGAGGGAAAAGCAGCATATTCACAATTTCATTCGCCTCCACAAAATATCGCAATTATCGCAATAAATATCTGGATATCGTTACATCCCTAGCGATATATCGAACTTCAAAATGCGTCACGGTGAAGGGCTGCGTGTTTTTTTCCCTGACTGACTCCTGACTCCTCCTGCTCCGTGATCCTTTGACGCTCGTTTTAGATTTCTCCTGACAGACGGAGCTCTAGTGTCTGTGCAGGCGTCTGTAGATCCACACGAACATCTTCAACAACTCTGCACGACCCTACAGTCCACACGTTTACGCCGAAAAAACACTCCGCTATTTTAAAAAGTCATTGTGTTTTGTTTATGTTTATGTTTAAAGGTCCAGTATCGCACAAACCTGAGTCCTGTGAGCTTTAAATCAAGTTCTGTTCTCCAAAACAGACCTGGAGATGTGTTTTGTTTCATTCATGTTTGAGTAACTCTGCATTATTCGTCTGTTTACATCTACAACGCTCAAAACGCTCCGTTCCACCTCGTGATGTCATGAAGTGGTAGTTTTCAAGTGAACAGTTCCTTTTACAGCAGTTACGATTGATCAATTATGGAAAAAAATCAGTATCACGATTACTTAAATGTTTTTTGTTTTTTAACACGATGCATTTATTCAGCATTTCTCTCTAAAAAAACACTCTGTTATTGTAATTTATGCAAAACTTTCAAATAAATTCAGGCTACAAATCTGAACTTTAGAGCAGGTTTGCGACGTATAAAACATAAAATGACTAAAATAAACTTTGAACATGAAATAAGGCAGAAAAACATAAATGTGTCCAAAATAAACTCTATATCCAGCTGTTCTACAATCTCTAGATTTAAAAAATTAAATAAATAAACTTATTAAGCTTTAAATCATTTCAACTTGATTATGAGTTTGAGATCATTTGACACACAATCAAAATTTGATTAATTGCACAGACTTAAGTTCAGTAGAGATCGGCAGTTCCTGTTCTACCACATGACATCACAAGGTGGAACAGAGTTTTTGGTTCAAACCAACTGGATTTCAGTGTTGAAACATTTAACCAAATGAACGACTCGTGTGAGGCTCGTTCTGTTTTCTGATCAGAGAATCGTCTTGAACCAAAACATCAAATCATAACATAAAAAACTTAGTATCAGGTTTAGTTTGATGCAGATCTAAATCTAAATGACTTTATTGTAGAACAAAACCTGTTTTTACTCAAACTTGTGGACAGAAGTAACATTTACCTGCTCAATTCAAGGCAGTTGGTTTCTGTGGTTTTACCAAGTTGCTCTTAAAGTAAAGTTCACTACATATTTCAGATTTGAGGCGCTGACTGATTCATTGGCTCAGCTTCACAACAAGATTCTATGAATGAAAATTAAAGTGATGAAAGAGGAATTTACTGAACACTGCACTGAGGAATGAACCTGTCAACTCAGCTTTAGATTCACACTCCACTTTAGTCTAAAGTTTCAAGGAAATCGGTTTTCTAGATTTTTTAAAGTAAAGTTAACTTGTTACATTTTACAGTGTGTCAAGCAAAAAGAATATCACAAAAAAGAAAAGAAAAAAAGGCTAAGTCCTGTTCCGCCTTCACTGGACGACTGGACTGATATAATCGATAGGGCTGGGATCATTAAGAAGTTGCCGATACAATACACACCTTGATACAGAGAACTTTTGATTCAGTTTGATATATTTCAAATAGATTTGATTTGGTTAAAAAAAAACAACTAAAGTCTAAATCATGTCTGTGATACTAAAAGTCTTACTTAAACCACTTCTTCTTGTACAAATTTCATATGAAACTTAAATATTTTAATCGTCAAAACAGTGAAAATGTCAAATGTGTCACATAAACGTCTTCCTCTGAACAAACAACAAAACTGGAGCTGTGACAAAATAATTTAGTAAAATAAACCAAAAATACTCTTGGTGAAATATCGATACAGCAGCCCACGATATCGATACTGTATCATCACATTAAACGATACGATACATCGATATTTCAATATTTTTGCACACTCCTACTAATTGATATAAGATGGAAAATCAAACTTATACAATAAACATTCAAAGAGATTTGTATTGTATTTTGGAACAAATTGATTAAGTGTCACTGAATCGGAACATTTCTTTTAACTTCTCCATTTCTGGTGAAGATTTGGTGATTTCTGTTTGCATTTTTTGTTCCTGTGAGCTTCCCCTGTTCTTGTAAATAGTTTAGTGTTTTGTTTTGTTTTTTTGTGCTCTTTTTATTCCTTTTTTTAATTTTTTTTTTATGTACCAAACATTGGGAAGATAATTTGAACTGAAAATCTGTAATATGTAAATACAACCTCTTTAAAAATGAAATTTTAATGAATGTTTAGTGTCATCTTTTCTACCAGTGACTAGAGATGTAACAATAATCGAAATATCGTGATATCGTATCGTCAAAGTTCTCACAATAATATCGTGGACCATCACAATATATCGATATATTTTGGTGCAACAAAAGCTAAAAAAAACACAGAGGGAACTACATAGACCATGATCCTTTGCTCCTTTTCAGTGCAGACGACAAGAAGAAATAACAGTTCTAACACTTTTACATTTTTGGATTAAGTCTTGTTGAGGCATTTTAAGAGGAAAAAGTGGCATATTCACGGTTTTGTTCGCAGCCTCCACAAAATATCGTAATAAATATCGTACCGTGAGATGTATATCGTGAAAATATCGTAGAGAGAGATTTGGATATTGTTACATCTTTAATCCTGAGACTTCTTAACATATCGTGAGCTTTCCCACGTTATCGCAACAAATATCATACCGTGAAGTTCGATATCGTATTTATTACAACAAAAAACAACATTTAAACCGTTTTTATTTCCGCTGTCCTCGTCTGTGCTGAATATTCTCGTCTATAGAATTGTGTGATGTCATCTGAAACCTCCAGCACCTCCACGCGGGGTCATGACCAGAACTCCAGAACCAAAACCTGGACCAGACCTTTTGTTTGGGACGACTGCAGGAATAAATAAATATAAGAAAAAAGCGAGAAACATCGACCTGTGCGTCTGTTTACATGTCATTTTTTCGAATTATGGTCATTTTGAAGCTCGGTTTTCTGTATTTTAGCTTCACAAATGACAATATATTTCACTTTTTACTATTCATGCATCCAAAAATACAAAAATAAGAACTTCCTGGGACATTTTTTGCATAAAAAATTAGACGAATTAATAGTTTTGGACACATAAGGGACGCAGGACTCAAAACTGGGGCTGTCCCGAGTAAAAACTTTGAGTGAAATTGTAAAAAAAATAATAATTAAAAATGCAGCTTTAAGTTTTAGTTTCAACGATCATGTTCGACATTTGAGGACATTTCAAAGTCCAAACGCTTCTGCTTCGACAACACGGAACGATAACAACTACGTTAGCTGCGCATTAGCTACGCGCGCCGTCTCCTAGCAACGACGCAAAGGTGAGAAGCGGCGTCAGGTGCACAAAAGTTGCAAACTGCACCAAAGTCCGCGGACGTGGAGCGTGCGGGGGACATGACACAGGTCAGCGGTCACGGCGTTGTCCGATAATTGCGTACGAACCGACAGGAGCGCGTTTACGTTACGAGTTGAGACGGAATTAAAATTTGAGCCGCGTCCAGTTGCGTAACGCGAGCGACAGTGCACGTCCCGAAAGAGCTCAGGCAGGACCGTAAAAGCCGCGCGGGTCAGATGCGGACGACTTGGGTGCAACTTGCGGATGTCGATACGTCGAAAAGTTTGGGACGCAGAAAAAAAAAAAAACAACAACTCACCTCTCCCGCCGCCGAGTGCACGCGCCGCCCCTCCGTCCTGCGCGCGGGGGTCGATACGTCCGCACAGGTGTGATGTCCGCGGCGGGTGTCCTCGTGCCGTCCCGCTGCTGCTGCTGCGCTCGAGCGGCGCACGCACGAACCGAACGTCACCCGGGGGACGCAGCGGGAGGGGGCGGGGCGTGCGTGTGCGTGTGCGTGGAGTGACGATCTGACAGCGAAAACGAGCCGTGAGCAAATTTAGGACTAAAAATACGTCAAATGATCAGGCGACGTGGTTTTACGCGGTGACGTCACACAAACTTATTCCAAGTTTTGCAGCGAACGACAAGGATGTGTGATCAGGGCTGCACCTGTCTCTCCTGCTCCTGTCTCTCCTGCTCCTGTCTCTCCTGCTCCTGTCACTCCTGCCCCTGTCTCTCCTGCTCCTGTCTCTCTCCTGCTCCTGTCTCCTCCTCTCTCCTGTCCTCTCCTGCTCCTGTCACTCCTGCTCCTGTCACTCCTGCCCCTGTCACTCCTGCCCTGTCTTCCTGCCCTGTCTCTCCTGCCCCTGTCTCTCCTGCCCTGTCACTCCTCCTGCTCCTGTCTCTCCTGCTCCTGTCTCTCTCTCCTGTCTCTCCTGCTCCTGTCCCTCTCCTGCTCTCCTGTCTCTCCTGCTCCTGTCACTCCTGCTCCTGTCACTCCTGCCCCTGTCTCTCCTGCTCCTGTCACTCCTGCTCCTGTCACTCCTGCTCCTGTCACTCCTGCACCTGTCACTCCTGCTCCTGTCTCTCCTGCCCCTGTCTCTCCTGCTCCTGTCACTCCTGTCCCCTGTCCTCCTGCCTCCTGTCACTCCTGCCCCTGTCACTCCTGCCCTGCTCTCTCCTGCTCCTGTCACTCCTGCCCCTGTCTCTCCTGCTCCTGTCACTCCTGCTCCTGTCACTCCTGCCCCTGTCTCTCCTGCCCCTGTCACTCCTGCCCTGTCTCTCCTGCCCCTGTCTCTCCTCCTGCCCCTGTCACTCCTGCCTCCTGCACCTGTCACTACTGCTCTTGGAAGAAAGGAGGAGAGGAGGAGATGAGGAGACAAGGAGACAAGGAGAGGAGGAGGCAAGGAGATAAGGAGAGGAGGAGACAAGAAGAGGGGGAGAGGAGACAAGGAGACAAGGAGAGGAGGAGATAAGGAGAGAAGGAGACAAGGAGAGGAGAAGGCAAGGAGAGGAGGAGACAAGGAGAGGAGGAGACAAGGAGAGAAGGAGACAAGGAGAGGAGGAGAGGGGAGATGAGGAGAGGAGGAGACAAGGAGAGGGGGAGAGAAGACAAGGAGAGAAGGAGACAAGGAGAAGAGAAGGCAAGGAGACAAGAGGAGGAGACAAGGAGAGGAAGAAAGGAGGAGAGGAGGAGACAAGGAGACAAGGAGAGTAGAAGGCAAGGAGACAAGAGGAGGAGACAAGGAGAGGAGGAGCGGGGTGAGGAGAGGAAGAGAGGAGAGGAGACAAGGAGAGAAGGAGACAGAGGAGGAGACAAGGAGACAAGGAGAGGGAAAAGGAGGAGAGGAGGAGAGAGGAGAGGAGGAGATAAGAAGAGGGGGAGAGGAGAGGAGGAAAGGAACAAGGAGACAAGGAGAGGAGGGATAAGGAGAGGAGGAGACAAGGAGAGGAGGAGACAAGGAGAGGAGGAGAGGATACATACAGTTCTATTAAAAGAACTTGATCAGAGACAAAAGTAGTAAAATACTGAACTGAAGTAAATATTTGAGGTATTTGTACTTTACTGAAGTATATTTTACAGTCGGTACTTTTTACTTTTACTTCACTACATTTGTGAGCAGGTGTCTGTACTTTCTACTCCACTACATTTTTGAACAGAACTGAAAAGTAAAAGTATTTTTATTATATTTTATTATATTTTGAGTTCTGCTGAAAAGTCTGAAGGATTTTTATATTCTGAGAAACACAAATATCCAAATAAAAACTTTTTGATTCAGTTGTTTCTGTTGAACAAAATCTACTTCAGTAAAAGCAGCAAAGTAGATTTTGTGCTTCTTCAGTTCCGCCGCTGGAGTTTGTGCTCTTGGGCAAGACACTGCGTTTTCGTTTGACTTTGGTTGAGCAGCGCTGACCTCTAGTGGCGACAGAAGGTCTCTACACGTGAGGAGGAACTGGTGTGTCTCATGGATCCTCTACATCTGAAATTAATAAACAAATAAACTAACGAATGAATGAATAAATAAACAAATGAATAAACAAATAAATAAACAAATGAATAAATTAATGAATAAATGGGCTTAAATAAATAGTTACTTGTGAGACTGATCGACAAAATCACCACTTTTAACGCCACTTCAACTGCAAAAAGTTCACTTGACAAGGAAAGGACACAAGGAGAGAGGAGAGGAGGAGACGAGGAGAGGAGGAGACAAGAAAAGGACACAAGGAGAGGAGAGAGGAGGAGACAAGGAGGGGGAGAGGAGAAGGAGAGGAAGAGTGGAGGAGAGAGGAGGAGGAGACAAGGATAAGATGAGAGGAGACAAGAAAAGGACACAAGGAGAGGAGAGAGGAGGAGACAAGAAGAGAAGGAATCAAGAAGAAGCGGAGACAAGGAGCGGAGGAGAGGGAAGAGGAGGAGAGGAGGAGACAAAGAGAGGAGGAGGAGAGAGGAGGAGGAGACAAGGATAAGATGAGAGGAGACAAGAAGAGAAGGAGACAAGGAGAGGAGGAGGCAAGGAGGAGACAAGAAGAGAAGGAGACAAGGAGAGGAGGAGGCAAGGAGCGGAGGAGAGGGAAGAGGAGGAGAGGAGAGAGGAGGAGAGGAAAGGAAAAGAGGAGGAGATGTGGAGAGGAGGAGACAAGGAGGGGGAGAGGAGAAGGAGACAAGTAGAGGAGGAGAGGAGGAGAGGAGGAGAGGAAAGGAAGAGAGGAGAAGACAAGAAGACAAGGAGACGAGAGGAGGCAAGGAGAGGAGGAGACAAGGAAACGAAGAGACAAGGGTCAAGGAGACAAGGAGACAAGTAGAGGAGAAGAGGAGACGAGCGAAGATCCACGGTGAGAATGGGACGTGCCCGCGTGTCGTCATCACGTCCGAGCTGCGTCGTTTCCCTGGCAACGGCTGTAATCGCGCCTGAGTAAAAAGTTGTCGCAAATTTAAAGGTTTTTTTCTGAAAATACGGAACTTTTCCTTTTTCCTCCGCAGCGTCACAGCGCGGGAAACACACCGGGGTAAGACGAGAACAGAACCACACCGAGGTTAACACGATTTTACACTTTTTCATCGAACTAACCGAGCTCAATAACGCGATTTATAACGAAATAAACCGTTTTAATTTGATAAACATCGAAGCTGGAACGAAGTTTAACACGAAAAGTTCAGTTACGATCATTTCTGCTCCGAATGTGTTCAGCTTCAGTTCGACACGAGTACAGGAAATGTGACATTTAAACCCACAAAAGACACAAAATAAACGTTTATTTTGGTAATAAAGATATTTAAATTACGTATATGTAAATGTAAATGTGTACAAATAAAAAATAAAAAGTCATAAAAAATCAAAAAAAAAAAAAAAATGTAATGGAAATGTTAAATGTGACAGTTAAAGACCGCTTTATCAGTAATAAAGATATTTAAACAACGTAGAAAAATAAGTTTAAGAAAAACAACTTAAATGTGACCATTAAAAGAGAAAAATAAAGTAAATAAAAACAATTTAAAAAAACAAAAAACTAATGGAGATGTTAAATGTGGCAGTTAAACTCAATCAAGCCACAAAATAAATGTTTATTTTGGTAATAAATATATTTAAACTACGTAAATGTAAATGTACAAGTTAAAATAAAATAGAAAAATAAGTAATCCAAAGTAAAAAAATAAATAAAATCACCATTCCATCATCCTAGAAATGTTAAATGTGACAGTTAAAGACCGTTTTATCAATAATAAACATATTTAAACAATGTATTGATAGGTAAAAGATACTGAAACTACGTATATATAAATTTATATGTACAAGTCAAAATAAAATAAAAAAATTAGTAATCCAAAGTAAAAAAATAAAAATTAAAATCACCATTTGTAAATGTACAAGTCAAAATAAAATAGAAAAAAAGTCTTAAAAAAATCTTAAAACAAAAAAACAAAAGTGTAATGAAAACCTTTAATGTGACAGTTAAAATCCAGTTCAGCCACAAAATAAACCTTTATTTTATTTTTTTAATATATTGAAACTATGTATTTGTAAACATATATGTACAGAACAGTCAAAACAGAATAGAAAAATAAGTTATATAAAATAATAATAAAAAAAAAAATCACCATTCCATCGTCCTGGAAACGTTAAATGTGACAGTTAAAGTCATGGATTTATGGTTCTGTGGTTAAGGTCCAGTTAAGTGACAAAATAAACATTTTATCTGCAGGTTAATAAAAAAAAAAATTAACTATGTATATGTAAATGTACAAGTCAAAATAAAATAGAAAAATAAGTAAATAAAAACATAAATAAATAAATGTGACAGTTAAACCCAGTTAAACCAAAATAAATGTTTATTTTTGTAATAAAGATACTTAAACTACGTAAATGTAAATGTATATGAACAAGTCCAACTCTAGATTTAATCTGGTAAAACTTGTTGCTGGTGTGTGTTTTTAAACTCCATAAAGTCCACACAGCTTCACTAGAATTACTTGAAAATTACCACTTCATGACATCACAAGGTGGAACAGAGCGTTTAGAGCTTTGTAGTTGTAGATAGATGAATAAAGAGTTACTCAAACATGTGAATGAAACAAAAAACACAACTCCAGGTCTGTTTTTGAGGAGGGAACAGCGTTAGAACACGACTTAAAGCTCACAGGAGTCAGTTTTGTGAGATGTAGGATGTTTCAGAAGAAGAACAATCACATCTGAACCTGTGTGTCCGGACCTTTAACCTGCAGACACAGACACGTCCAAGTTATTGTCAGTATTTGGAGCTGTGAAGAGCTACAGACTGTCTGAGTAAAGTTCACATTTGCAGCTAAACATATGGAGCTTGTGTTCATGTTCATTTGTTTGTGTTTGTGTGCAGATGGAGACAGAGGCACCCACAGAGCTCCAGGACTTTGTGTGAGTTATGAGACTAAACTACCAGTCAAAAGTTTTAGAACACCTTAATTTTTCCAGTTATTTATTGCAGTTCAAGTCGTGTAAGTCCAATGAGTCACTTGAAATGGTGCAAAGGTAAAAACTGAACAGACAGAGGTTTAAAAAAAAAGATAAAAGAACAAAACACAAGTCCAAGTTCTGCCAAAACCACCTCAGGAAAAAAGCACAAGATGGTAAAACTTGGAAACCTGGAGTGTCCAGACTTAAACCCATCGAGCTGAAGACTGAAGAGTGAAGCAACCGACAAGTGCCACACATTTATGAAACTTCTGCCACAGACTCGGGAAGAACTTTCTCAACAATATTCAATTTGTGTTGTAAAAAGAACGAGCCACGAGTGAGTTCAGCTCTTCTATCTGACAAAAGTCGACACACACGTCAATCTAAAGTTTAGAATATGTTTTTGTCAACTGTAAAGAGTAAAAACTGGATAAAGTGTGGTGTTCTAAAACTTTTGAGCCCCATCGGCGTATGAGTAGATTTATAAACAGTTTTAAGTGTCTCTGTTCTGTGTCTGTGTCGTGTCTCAGTTCAGACGCGGCGCCGCCGTGGCCCAGGTCGTACACGGAGAACAGCGCCGAGGAGGAGCAGCTTCTGGTCATGGCCCGGAGCTTCCAGAGACACATGCGCCTGCTGTATCCAGACAGAAAACCTCTGCTGCTCTGCCCCGCCAACGAGTGCGGCCTCCAGGTACGAGCGCTCAGTCTGAACACGAGTACGAGTACGAGTACGAGTACGAGTATGAGTAGTACGAGTACTCACCTGTGCAGCCAGAAGCACACGCTCTGACCAAACCTCACACACACGAGTGGATCTGGAGCTGTGTTCTGTCTCCTGAGTTCAGACGGTGTGATTGACAGATGGATTAACCAATCAGAGAGACACATGTACATTAGGCTGCATCTTTTGTGGTCACACCGGCTCGTCAAAGCCTGATCCCACCAGATCTCAGAAGCTCAGGCTGGTCTGGGTCTGGTCTGGTCCTGGTCTGGACTTGGATGGAGACACTGGGAATTCCAGGAGCCACAGGAGGCACCAGTCACAAAAACTGTTGTTGTGTCCTTTGGCAAGACACTTCACCCTCATTGCCTAGTATGAAAGTGGAGTGTGTGGTCGGAGGGACTGATGGCACAGATCAGCAGCCTTGCTTCCTTCAGTCTGCCCCTGGGCAGCTGTGGCTACAGTAGTAGTTTACACCACAGAGTGTGGAGTGATTGAATAATGTAAATGAACTGTCAAGCTCTTTGGTTCATGAAAGACACTATATAAATGCAATGATCAATTAATGATTAATATCATTTGCTACTGTGTCCACCAAACCTTTTTAAGTTTCATCCTAATGTCCATAAGGCTCTGATAGAAAAATCTGTTTTTCTCAAATAATATATATATATATTTTTTATAAACTTTAGGAGAACTTGTCAAGTAAAATGATCTTGCTGCATGGACAGATCATTTCACTACTTTTAAGTCATGTTTTGATAGATTTAAGTGTTTATATCTTAAATTTGGGCCAGACTTTTTTGCCGTTTGCTCCGTTTGGTGTCGATCTCGTCCCTTGAAGTGTCTCCGTCTCGTTTCCTCCCGCAGAAGCTGGTGACCACCACCCTGCGCCCCACCTTCCCCGCGGTGGCCGACCTCCACACGTGGCAGCAGTGCGCCCGCTTTGTGTCCGACTTCCTGACGCTGCAGCCGCTGGAGCCGCCCACCGAGCTGGTAACTGTCAGGAACGAGTCTGAAGAACCTCCTGGAATCATGACACGTGAAGGTTTTTGACTCAGTGTCTGTGTAAGATGGTTGTAGATTTATTTATTTTTTTAAATTAAAAACAACAGACAACAATATAACATTAACAAAATACAATAATCAATATAAAAACAAGACAAAAACACACACCGACACAAATTTTGTTAAATAAAACAAAAATAATGTGATAGTGCAGCATAAAAACACCAGTCGGCCCCTTACATTGATTTATTTTGGCCAAATTATTATTGAAATTCCTTAACTCTCTGTTTCTTTCTTTATTTTTCCCCCCATTTTTAAACTAACATTTTTAGTCCCTTTTTAGTTCCTTTCATCATCTTTTACTATTTATTACAATCTTAAAGTATAATTTTAAAGGCATTTCCTTTTTCCCCCTCCCTTTTTAATTATTATTATAATTATTATAACTATTACCATACCAACTTTATTTATAAAGCACTTTAAAAACTTTACATGTGGCCAAAGTGCTGAACACAAACACAAACACAGACAATGACAATCGCAGAAGAAGAAAATACACAGTACAAACACAACACAACTGCTAAAAACATAGAAAACAGTGAGACACTCAAGAAATGTACATGTCACTTGTTAAAAGGCAGTGAAAAAGGCGCGTTTTTAGGAGTGATTTAAAAACAGGTCCAGACTCGGCCTCTAATTTCTAACGGCGACTGGTTCCAGAGCCGAGGGGCAGAAACAGAAAACGCACGGGCCCCACGAAGCTCACGTTTGGTTTTTGGGACGGCGAGCTGGAGCTGCTCTGCAGACCTGAGACTGCGAAGGTGTGAAGCTCTTTCTTCTACGTCAAACCCGTCGGAGGTGAATCTGCCGCGTCGTCGTTGTAGCAGCTTTAGTTCGTCGTCACGTGGGAGGGCGGCAGAAATACGCTGCAATTTGTGAAAAAAAAAACACTTCTGCGACAAATCCAAGGCCCACACATCAGTCAAAAGGTGATTTTGCATGAGACGGGCCCTTTAAAAGTAAATAAAACCATTTTTAAATCGACTCTAAAAGACACTGGAGAGAGGCTGAAACAGGTGAGACGTTCTCGTGTTTCTGGTGATGATGGTTAAAGTTTTAAAAATAGTTACTTTCCATTTTTACCTTCGCCAAGGAGGTTATGTTTATGCCGGCGTTTGTTTGTTTGTTTGTTTGTTTGTCTGTTTGTTTGTTTGTTTGTTTGTTTGTCTGTTTGTTTGTTTGTCTGTTTGTTTGTTTGTTTGTTTGTTTGTTTGTCTCTGTTAGCAACATAACTCAAAAAGTTATGGACAGATTTTGATGAAATTTTCAGGATTTGTTGGAAATGTGAAAAGGAAGAACTGATTTCATTTTGGGGCTGATCCGGAAGAAATCCTGGATTCTGGATCACTTTGAAATTTTAGTTAACATTGTGGTAAATGGGGCCAAAAAGTTTGTTTCTCAATATCTCGTTAATTATTGACCAAACCCCATGAAATGTGACTCAGGGATGGACAGTGGGATCCTCTTTCATATTCCAAAGGCTGATCCGGATCTGATCCAGGAGACTGATTTTATTGCAGTTTATATAAAACTGGGCGTGGTCCTGGGTGGAGTCTCTGCTTTTCTAGTTCATCTGTTTTGCTGTGATATTTGGGAAATAAACTCTGGTCAATTCTGTGTGTAAATGTAAAGCCTCAGTCAAACATCTGGTCTGGTGCTTCTCTGCTGCCTTCATCACTTTCAAACAAACATCATTTGTACCTCTTCCTCCTCCTCCTCCTCTCCTCTTCCTCCTCTTCCTTCTCCTCCTCTTCCTCCTCCTCTCCTCCTCTTCCTCCTCCTCCTCTTCCTCCTCTTCTCCTCTTCCTCCTCCTCCTCTTCCTCCTCCTCCTCCTCCTCCTCCTCCTCTTCCTCCTCTCCTCCTCTTCCTCTCCTCTTCCTCCTCCTCTTCCTCCTCTTCCTCCTCCTTCTCCTCCTCTTCCTCCTCTTCCTCCTCTTCCTCTCCTCTCCTCCCCT